ATGTAGGCCTAAATCGACAATTTTTAGTATAAATAAATATTACAATTATTAGTTCAAGCTTCTGAAAAGGCACGGACAGTCTCCACTTTCAAAAGTTTAGGGAGGAAGGATATTATCCAACCATCTTTCACCCGAATGATACCAAAATTATAGAATAATAAAATATTAATTACCTTTAAGAAAAGCATTTCTTTGGCTCACGTCTGCAGACGAATTAACGATACCAATAATCAGTTGTCAGTCTGGTGTCTACAGAACTGTGTTTTGCTTATATAGTCAGTCAGTGTCAACATGCGCAGTCTGCGAGCGATTCCATACTTGAGGTTTTTATGGAACGGGTGTGCTGATTAGAAATAACAATTTCATATTGAAGTTTCATAACCCTTTGGTTATACACTTACCACGGATTTTAGACTTTTATCTTGAAAATATAATACAGTATTATGATAAAGATCAACGAGCATCAAATTTAATTATTAAATATCAAACTTAAATGCGTGCGCACTAATCAAAATATAATAGAAGATTAAAAAACAGAAACTCACAAAAAACTTACATTAATTTTGATTTTTACAAATTGTATTTCAAAATAAATCGTCAATTGTCTGGTGTCTTCAAGTGGTACATTAACCATAATTAGTTGTCCTATTTTCATGAATAGGCCAATATTAATATTATATTAATCTCCACTTTTGAATAGAACTTTCTCCTTTGTAAGGTAGGTACGTCCTCTTCCTCAGTCTCTAGTCTAGCACAGTCTAGTTTAGGCCTATTTTTGGATGGTGATGTGAATTTTTCTGCTGGCGTAATCATACATACTATAAGATGAGATTAAGGCAATTTTTTGAAATTTTTGTTTTAAAAGGCTTAAAGGGATTGAACAAATTCGATCCAACTCGGCCACAAGTCAACTCAGCCACATTCAACTCGGCCACAAATCAACTCGGCTACAAGTCAACTCGGCCACAAGTCATTTACTGGTACTACAATTTGAAGGAGTAATTCATCAAGTATAAAATACTAATTCTTTAAGTATTACTATACTTATTGTTATCATTATTGCTGTTATTAATTGTTATTCTTATTGTTTTTATTACCGTTAGTTTTAAAATTAATTATTATTCTTAGCATTAACATTTATATGTATTGTTTAAATTTTTGCTGATATTATTATTATTGTTATTGTTACCATATAAATAATAAATAATTCTCGATTTTATAATTTATAGCATTCATTTGATTTTAGTCGAATTCAAAATAAATTTTTAACATTTAAAAAATCATAATGTGGTTTTTCTATTTCAATTTTTGTGATTAGGTCTACAGTATGTACTCATATTTTATGTCAGTGTTTTAAGGTGAAAAAATTAAACATTAATATATTTGTTTTTCTTAATTATTAAGATTGCTTAAATTGTTAATGTTACATTATTGTCAGATTTTATTCCATTCTGTAAGTGGCGGGTTTTCTCTGTTGAATAAGAGTACAATGTGAAGAAAAGAATACAACGATCTCACGACGATGATCAGAATTTTACTAAAATATACTGTGTACTTCATTTCAATCATATTGAAGAAAAAGGATGCAAAAACTGAGTAATTTTTACATACATTTCATTTTATTATAAGAAGGAGTTGCAGACGTTACAGATGCCTGCAAGCCATTTTCAACTGGTGGCTGTTCCTAATAATATCTGTCTATGTTTATAACATATTTGGATATAATAATATCTACGCGCAGGATTAATTAGTGAGAAATATTTTTAACGATCCAATTTTGATTAAAAGCTAACGTACTAATCTTTTTTTTTTACAATTTACCTTATTATAAAAAGGAGTACGTTACAGACACTTGCAAGCTATTTATCAACTGGTGGCTGGTACTAATAATATATCTATGTTTATAACATATTGGAATATAATATCTACGCGTAAGTTTAATTAATGAGAAACATCTTAACGTTCCAATTTTGATTAAAAGCTAACGTACTAATAAGAAAAATAAGAATCAGGTAATTATAGTTTTAATTAAGGAGATATATTTATTTTTGTTGAATTTTTATTGTTCATTTATCTGCTTTATTCAGGGTTTTGTTCATTTGCTGTTTGATAGGAAATAAATATAAAAGGCAAACAATCTAGAAGACTTGTTATCAAATGTACTAATAATCATATTACATATATAGAAGTAATGTATTTTTATCCATTACAATTTACCATATAATAAAAAGGAGTACGTTACAAAGACGCCTGTAAGCAGTTTCTCAACTGGTGGCTGGTCTTAATAATAGCTATCTATTTTTATAACATTATTGGAATATAATAACTTAGTTCTTCAAGCATGAACTAACTTATTCAAAACGATGGAAAAACAACTTTTTACACTTGAATTTAAGGTAAAGTATATATATTGTATATAGTCTTTTTGTTTTTACCATATATGTATATATATATTATTATATACATATCTATACATATACATTATATACACACACACACCAACACACACACCTACACCCCCACAAACACACACCCACGCACACACATATGTATGTATATATATATATATATATATATATATATATATATATACGGTAGGTGTGTGTGTATGGGTGTGTGTGTGGAAAGTAATGGCTGAATCGCGCGTTAAGGTTACAAATTTGATAAGCAGCAGCTACGGTAAATAGTAAACGTAAGTAAGGGAGCAGATCAACTTGGCCCCAAGTCAACTCGGCCCCAGTCAACTCGGTCCCAAGTCCACTCGTCGGCCCCAAATCAACTCGGCCCCAAGTCAACTCGGCCCCAAGTCAACTCGGCCCCATGTCAACTCGGCCCCATGTCAACTAGGCCCCAAGTCAACTCGGCCCCATGTCAACTCGGTCCCAAGTCAACTCGGTCCCAAGTCAACTTGGCCCCAAGTAGTCAAATCGGCCCCAATTTACAGTGTATATACTGAATATTTGCCAAAAGAGATTTGAATGCAAAGCCAAAGTTAAAGTGCTTTATATCGTTGCCTTCGTTATTTCTTTTCATTTACATTCACTTACAATAATTAAAACAACAATAATAAAAATAATATTATTAAAAATATAAAAGGTATACGGTAATATAAATAATAATAATTATAATGACAATAATAACGAAATAATCATGACAATGCTTAATGAGTTATAGACATTAAATATTTTCTACTATATAATATGTATTATATTATTATATATATTATATATAGGCCTATATAATGTACATATATATATATACACCATATATATATATGTATATATATATATATATATATATATAATGTATACATCATGATATAATAGATAAAATCGAAACCGTCTTCATGTATCTGAAATAATAAGAAACGAATACCATATGTATGGACTTTAGAAACAATTTATTGGAGAAAACAAATATTTCGACCTATCTTTAGATATATTTATTATATACGTACATACATACATATACTGTATGTATATATATATATATACTGTATATATATAAGAAAGTTAATATAATATATATATAAAGAAGTTAATATACATTTTAAATATACATTATATGTATAAATATATTTAAATATATATTATATATACATTACATATATGTATATATATTTGAATACATACAGGCCTATATACTGTATATATACAGCGTATATATATATATATCTATATATACATACACACACATACACACACCCACACATATATATATACATTTATATGTACATTATATGTATGTATGTACATAGGCATATATATATATATATTTAAATGTATATACATATATGTACGGTATGTATGTATGTATATAAATCATTATATAATAGGTCAAATCTAAACCATGTTATATATAAATATAATAGGAAACGAATACTATATAACAATATGGATTTTAGAAAAATAAATAGCTAGCCTGGGTTCAGATTTGAAGCCTCTGTGGTCTAATGGTCATGACGCTCGCCTTGACTGTGTATATATATTGGCTTGGTTTGGCTCTGTAATCATTAATGGTCGTGGGACTAGTTTGGGCC